GTGACACAGTGACATACCGCGAAAATGAGTACATATGAAGTAAAAACATGAACAGTTTCCATAAAAAAAAAAAAAAAAGAATAGTAATTTTTTTTATTTCCAAAGGAGCAGATGTTAATAATAAAATGGCAAGAAACTTGTGAAACAAACAATATCGATGTTAAAAATGGTGTGTATAAAATATATAATACATAAATAAATAAATTATTGATAATGTTAATTATTAATTTTTATTTATTATTATTACTATTTATTAATTATTATTTCTAAAGATAATAATATGATTATTTTCATTAATAAGAATCATACTTATTCTTTGATATTAAAAAATAAATACACATCATATGCATACATGTTTCATATTTAATTTTTATTATTGTATAAAATAAAATCAAATTTATAATATTATAAGTACGTAAAATACTAATATAAAGCCAACTTCTAATAACCGCGGCAACATGGCGATTTTTAGATACCACTCATCTTATGATTAAAATGCGCAAAAGAACATCTATATTTCTTCCATCATGTTTTTTTTCTTTTGAAATTGATATCACAAAAATTAATATATTTATCTTTTGAAAAAGAGAAATTACAAAGATAGAAAATTAAATAAAGTTAGATATTTAAACTTGAAGATGCTTACAATTAATAATGATTTTTTAGTAATTTGAAAAAATCACAAGTAACAGGATGAGAGCAGGAATCGCTCCATAAAAGTCTCGTATAAATAATACTAGGTTTTTTTTTTAGTAAAAATTACTTCGAACATCGACGAGATAAGAATCACTGAATCACGCATACACATAGGACATGGCAATGCGTGCCGTGCGGAAGTTAGCGTAACAGCTAATAAATGGCTGCGTTCAGCGAACTCAACAGTTGAGTAAAAGCTTGCTGCTATTGATATATTTTTTTAGATCTAAAATTCTGATTGAATGATCTAAAAAGAATACACCAATAACAGTGATGGGCATGATGGGCCTGAGAATACGTGAAGAACGATGCCATTACCAATCCTTTTCATTGTACTGGACATGACAAATGTTACCTAGGCTGCATTCCACTTACAGGAGTATCTTTTTTCTTTGTTTGACATTTGATAAACAACAAGGATAAAATAATTCCACGAGCGTTGTGAGCATTAAATGGTACGCAGCCCTAGACAGCATGCATGTTCAAAGTCGAAACATAATTGTATTTCTTGCAAAACCTTCAAAACTAAATCAAACTCCTAACAGAACAGGTTTAACAAGTAAGCTTGTAAGAGAAAGTTCCGTTATAAAAAAACTAATCTAATCCAAACCATATTTAAGGTGTGGATCGGTCCTCGTTTTGTAAAATATTGACCTTGGTTTAATCTTGGCGACCCAAAGTCAAACTGATAAAATCAATAAAAAGATGTTCTGTAACTTTTATCTGAAAAACACTTTTCCGTAAAACTTATATTTTCCAAGAAATTCAGGGATTTCGATACTTCTGCCTCATCCTGTAAATGAAATTATAACATTACAAGTATATGCATACTTTTTTATGAAGCATTTATATAATAATAAAAAATCGCGAATTTAACATATTAGTTAAATAAATATTTATGTTAATAATCACAAATTTATATTAATTGTCGAAAATGTTAACGCTCTTTGATTGCTTCCGGGCCCTCGACCCTTTTAGTAATGATACAAATTTATTCAAGATCGACGATCTTTCATGGCATCTCCGATAATAGAGACAGGAACTAACAGCTAAGAAGATTGGATGCTGAAAACGATGTTGCAAGCCAAATCTGCAGTTAGGTTTCAAAAATTGACGTTTAATATAAAAAAAATCATTTTTTTTGCAATATTTGACTTTTTGTAAAAAAAAGTTTAACATTATTTACTTAAAAATTTTAATCAGAAATCACAAATATATTGATCATGCCCTATAAAATTCATTTTTTATTTTTAATATCTTGCTATTTATTATGTTATGAAGAATTTAAATATACAAGATGTGTACAAAAAGTTCGTGTATTTGGTTCACCAAAAATCCAAATTAAATGATTCTGTAACGGGGATGTTGTCATCCTCGAAGTACTCTCCCCCTGAACAGAATGCACTTGATCCAATGCTTCTTCCATTCTTGAAAGCAGTGCTGCATGTCTTCCTTTGTCAGTTCCTTTAGAAGCTTCGTCATTTCTCATTTTATGGTATCAGCATTTACAAAATATTCACCCCGCATGATATTTTTTACTTTAGAGAACAGGTAGAAGTTACAAGGTACTATATCAAGTGAATAGGGAGGGTGGTCCATGATAATGATATTGTTTTTTATCAAAACCTCGCGCGTAATGAAACTTTCGGAACTTTCGGCAGACTAATTTTGCACATAGCTTACGCATGTTAAAATCTTCTTTTTAAATTGTCTGAACACTACCGTTACTTATTCCAAGCTTTTCTGCAATCATTTTAGTGGTAATTCGGTTTTTCTTTACCAAATCGTGAACACGTTAAATGTTCTCATCAACACGTGATATTGAAGGGCGCCCCGCTCATGTATTGTTATCGACGCACTCCTTAACAGGTTCGCCCGTTTACACAATTCTACGCTTCATGACAGACCCATTGTACACCATTTCCAACATTAAAAAAATTTTCTGTTTTTGCCAATTTTCACGAGAAATTTGATGTTGGTTCTTTGTTCGGTTAAAACGTCTCGCTCCATTCCGCCGACACGACTAAAAATACGTTAATAAAAACAGAGACGAAAAGCAAAGATCTCCACTCTTCTTGTTCTTCTTCTTTTTCAAGCTCAAAGGATTCGAGTGTGAAATCCATTAACCTTGCAGATAGGGGCCTTCAGGGAGAGGACCTCATAGAGCAATAAGTCCTCTCAGCCAAAAGAATAATATAGCCCAAAAATAAGCTTAGTCTTTTATGTTAGATTAGACAATCCTTGTATAATAATCCAAATTACGGAGTAATAAAAAATTAATTAAACTCAGACTCAACAAGATAATTAAGTTCTAAAAATTTGTTTCCAATAAAATTAGAGATTTCACTCGAATGTGATCAAACTTTTACTGAAGACACGCGAGGTTTCCCCAGAGACGTTGCACCACTGTAAAAGCTTAGAGCGTTGTCACGTCGGCAGAACAAAATACAGTGCACAAACTTTTTGTACACACCTCGTAAAGTTTTTCTAAGATAATAAAGGAAGACGGATAAAATTACTGGAGCACTTTGTGCCTAAACGAAGACATCTTCTTTATGCATGTTTTCTTTCCTCATATTTTTTGATATGCTGAATCATGTACATACAAACGTTTATTTCAAAATTTTGAAAATCAGATTAAAAGTAGCACAATTTCGTCAAAGTCTGATCTTTGATTACAATTTTCAATACTTTCTCATCAGTTTAGCTTGAAATTAACGTTTGCAAATGATTCATTATATAAAAAAAATATAAGAATATATATAAGGAAGATTCCATCATTTAGACACAAATCCGATAATATTATTCAGCCTCCTTCATCGCCTATGGCAAACTCATATACATATATATACATTTATCATTTCTAGTTTGTAGCTATTGATACATATACACAGTGTATTTTACTGTGATTGTATCAGGCTTATGTTTTTCGAAAAATGTACATCTTAAAAAATGTTCTACACAAAAGTTGCAGGAATTTAAGTGACGCATTAGATAATAATGTTAATGTAATCTTAAATAGCGTTGTTATAAGGCTCCTGAGTAGTCACTGTGGCCATGTTGGAATTGTGACATTAAAAGTGAGAAATGACACGTTAATTTATGTTATGTGCCATTTGTAAATGAAGACAATTTGGATAAATCTAAATGACGAGATTATTTTTTAAAACGCTTGTAAAAATAGAAGAAAACTATCCTTTTCTCCCCCGACAGCCAGTAAATGGTCTTAAAAGGCACGTAAAGTGAGCCTCTGTTCGGGTAGGAATGTAATTAACTTGACAGCTGTCAAAACGAATAAAAAATACGCTTTTACGTATACAATTTCAAGATAATTTTAATTTTCGTCTATTTTTTGAATATAAAACAATTTCGTCTATTTTTAGAAATAGAAGTCACAACACAAATCACGTTTTCACAATTAAGCACATAATAATATTCTCTTTATAGAAAAAAGTTTACTTATACATATGAGTCCAGTTCTTATTTAAAAAAAACGTTGACTTCAACATTTTTTATATATCTTCTGCTTATAAAACAATTTTATACTATGTAGTAATTCCTTCGAAGTCATGCAACTTTTGTATATAACAAACATTTTTTGTGTTTACAAACTTTATAATTTATAAGTTTCTTAATGTATGAAAATTAGGCTCAACTTGATACAAACACACAAAGTATCAAACTTTATGAACACATTCACACTTATAAAAGCATCAATACACAAACAAAAATACTCTACATAATCATATGCACGTGCATGCACATCCGCCATACGCACGCGCGTGGATGCAGCATTCAACATTCAGAAAGATATGCGTATGTGATTTATTATATAAAAGAGAACATCAAATCTCAAAGAGATAAATAAAGTAGATACTCAGATTCTATATTCATGAGCTCTATATTTCATTATCTCTTGATTTTATGTAAGTGTGCCAATGGAGATATTTACTCAGAATCATAAAAACTACAACATAATGGAGTAATTTCAAAATGGAGTAATTTGATAGTCATTTTTTCAAAAAAAGCGTGCGAGGTGTATTTTGGCTCGTAGTATTTTCAGCAACCAAAAATCTATAAAAACATCTTGTCTAGTTCAAAGTAATAAAAAACAAACTTTTTGTAAATTATTATAATCGAATAAAGTGAGAGTTAAAATTCTGACTAAAGTTGCTTATTCCGTCATTATTAGAGCAAATCATCCCCGTGAATGAAGTTCCACTGCAGTCTCAATATATCAGATAAGAATTATTGGCGGAAAGAAGGGCGGAATACGTAGAGGGTGAGAATTCTTTCTCGCACACCCATTTACATATTGTACGCCACATAGATAGGATCGAGCTGGTCCGCGAGAAAGCCATCACGCAAATGCATCCGTTGTTTCTCACCGCGTGAATTAATAGGTACCACACCGGGGTCCACTACAACTACTACGCCAACTACCAAATGGTGTTCTTCGAGCACAGCACTCGTCACCAAAGCTACAAGATCGAGGGCCTCGCTTTCGCTACCGTCCAATTCTACCACTACCACTAGCAAGTTGGTCCATGTGAACACAGCGCTGAAAAAGAATATGATAATATAACAGATTATTATAGTAGCGAATTACCAAAACAAAAATTGAAAATAAGAGAATATAGATTCGCAACAGTATATAGCTAGTATTATAAATTTCCAAAAAATTAAGAAATATATGAATTGCGTTAGATTTCTCAAAAGAACTTACCATTCTGCAATTTTCTTGTGACACCGCATGACACTATTTTCGATGTCTATTGGATGATAGCGCATACCTCGTAGTAGAATGGCCTCGTCGAGAGCGCCGACGACGAATACAGCATCATGAAGTTCTGGATCGTTTGGAACGAGATCAGCCTCGGGTACATTAGTATCACCGGGTACATCGCTAATTACCGACTGCTGAATGCTCTCGGTCCTTCTCAAAAAACCAAGATAGCCAGTCCTTGCATAGACTTCGCTCGTATTGCCAGTAACTAGTCGCGCGTTAAAATGATCAGCGTAATCGCTCTCATCACCGTAAATTGTAAAGTAACCACTCGCGTTATGTGATGACTGTACCCAGATTTCGCCTAGGTGCGAGTCACCACATTGACCTTTGGTTTCGGGATTCGCGATGATTACTTTTACCCCAGGCAGTAATTTGCCCGATTCCATCAAACACAAAGAATGCGGACTGCCGCGTTCCACCAAAGACACTCGGTCATTACGTAATGCACGAAGATCTACATAGACTGTTGAGGGCTCCGGACTGGATGCTCCCTGTGAAAAACAGAACCAAGAAAGTAATAATATATAAAAATAGGTCTTCCAGGATCCATAAAAATGCTTAATCTGGCCAATTAATTTTACCTGTAAGCAAATGGCAGTGTTTACTCTACAACCGAATGAAGTGGAGACCGCGCGCGGACTCAGACCGAGTGCAGAGAATAGCTTACTAAAACTCGTTGTTAACGCTATTCGTGGTCTCTCCTCGGCGACAACGACACATGTTCTCACACATGCCAGACTGACGCCTCGCGCCTTGAGTGTGTGTACCGAGGAACCGAGTCCCTTCGTGCACAGTTCCATAACGCCGTATGAGCAAAACGTATCTCTTACTCTAGATTGGCTAACTGCTGATAACCAAAGTGCAGGATTGGCTTCCACCTGGTAATAACAAAATAATCAAATTAAAATGTATTAAGAAGAAAATAAAGATTAATAAGAGTCATGCATCAATATTAACAAAAAAAATCTTCAAAACTAACACATATATATTAATAAGTATACAAAACGCTAGAACATTTTTAAATTTAAAAGTTACTAATACTGATGCGTAACTCTTATTAGACTTTATTCCTTCTTAATGTATTTGATATATCGAGAGAGTCCTTTAATTTTTAATTAAATCAAATTAAATATCTTCATTAATTGATTTTCATTTATTATTGTTAAATCTTTTTAATAAGCATAAGAATTGAGGTACTTGCCTCGGATGGTGGTATAAGTATAGAATGATGTCCACTGTATATACTGCTGAGACACCATAAGGCAAAACCAAGACCCGAGTATGGATCCAGACAGAGAGCGATGTGTCTGGAAGGATAGAGTTCACATGCTAGCTTCATGGCACGGCACAACGAAGTAACTGCTGCATGAGACATCTTGATGCCAGCGAGCATACCCGTTGTCGAAACACTGAAGTCGAGATAGGCCAGCATTTCCGCGGTAGGTGCTCGATACATTACCGGTAGCTTCTTCTTTGGCATGTCGTCCATATCTAAAATCATTGGCCAACTCTTCACGTCGACCACATTGTTTGCTTCCTGCAAAGCAACAACACCGATCAATCAAAATGTATACCTCATCACATTCTAATGAATATTATGATCAAACATTTATGATTACCTTTGTCTTCAATAATTTAAGTAGATTCTGGTTAGTCAATACGAGAACAGATTTACTGACGTCCACGATCATGCGAACAGTCGGCAAGGTCGTTTGAAGATTTTGAGGATGAGGTGGTCTAATGGTTACCGGCACAGCGCCAACATATAAACAACCGTAAAACGCGCATATTAGATCAGTACCAGGTGGGAAAATGAGTGCTACATGGTCTCCAGTGTTAATCCTTCCTCGATCCAAGAGTAAATTCCCGATCCTCTCAGCTTTTTTATGCAATTGCGAGCAGGATAATGAGGTAGCCACGGTGCCTTTCGCGTTTAACGACGTAAATATCACATGATCTGAAGTACTGACAGCGCGCCACCGTAGAATTTCAGAAATGAATTGGTACTAAAACATGAATATATTCTATACATATATATATATATATATATAATATAACGAATAAATATTGAAGTCACTTTTTCAGTTTACATATATGGGCTTTTATTGAATTTCATTGACCTTACGAACCTTTTTAGCATTATCACTATCCTCGTCTAGGACACCCATATCTCGTCCCTGGGCAGAAGCCAATCGATTGCCTTGGACAATATTTCCTACCATAACACTGGCTGGTCCAACATCTGCAACAGAATCCCCCGCTACACGCCCCCGCACCATTCCGTTAGTAAACCAACACAAACACTCAACCCAATAATGAGTAGCTCACATACTCTCTCCTGACTGAGGCCGGAAAAATCAAAGCTAGAGCACACAATCTGATTTTCATCATCAGAACCAACAATACAAGCGTTCATGGGTCTTCTGCTCCACAGGTCAATGCTTTAACATGCATTCACAAATCTTTGGATCTATGGATGCTTGAATTTTAAAATATCTTTCTTTTGAATATCTTTCTTGGTATAAAACAGTCCAAATTAATTATACACAGATCCCAGATTAATTACGTTATACAAATTACGTTATAAATACGTTATTTTCCTACTATATTAAAATACCGACGTGAAATTAAAAAAAAAATACAGAAAAACACTGAATACAAAAAAGTAAAAAAATATGTGTCTTCAGTAATAAAATAGTTCAGTACAAAGCAAAACCTTTTGCTAATCGTTAAAATCAATTGTGTGTGTGTATATATATGTAATATATGATTGCACTTAATTAAGATACTTAATTAAGAAACAATAAGAGATATTCAGAACTCAGCCAAAAGAAAGAAAATAACTAAATGGAAAATAACATGCTAAGCATATATAATTAACTATAAGACTTATTAATAAAACAAAATATATAACTGTGTGTTCTAATCTTAATATTTTGGAATAAATAAATTCGTAGTTCTAATCTCAATCTTTTGGAATAGATGAATTCAAAGTAATTTCCTAAGAAGATATAACACTATATTGTTATGTATTCTATATCTCAAAAAGATGCACATTTTGTATTTAATTATTAAAAAATTCACTTTTCTGAGATATTTAAAGCCAATATTTAAATTATTCAAATATTTATTTAATTAAAAGTCAACAGGAGTGACAAGATAATTTATTTACACTTTATTTACGATGTAAATATACAGGATATCCGGAAAAAGAGACGAACGACGCTTAAAGGGAGATTCTTGAGATCATTTTGAGACGAAAATTCTAATACTAAAATATTGAGGCTATAATAATTTTTGAATTATAAGCGTTTAAAATTAACGAATTATATCGTCTAAATTTGGCGCGCTGAGGAGCGGCACAAAGTAAACGTACTAAATGCAAAAGCTGATTTATCGGAAATTGTTTTGCATATATATATATATATATTATATATTAGTACTCTACTATATTCTTGTAGAAGAATGTATAGCTATAAAATGTTTTTTTTTGTTCATGTTTTCGAAGCAATAAAGCCTGAAAAGTCATATTTTATAATTTTACTTTTAAAAATATTATAATAAATAAAATGATCTGCTTTTTACTTGCGGAGTAAATATAATCAAGTTGAATTATATATTTTATTTCGTTTGTTCGTAGAAACAATGTTTTGTTGCAAAATCCAACTTTTTAGTAAACTTATTAATTTGATGACCACAAGATTTGACTTGAATTCGGACATTACCACCACGATATTTTGTACTTTACACTCAAATAATTTATATTTTGTATGCGCTACCTTTACATATATAACTTTTATATTTAATCATTTTTCTTTGTACTAAAGAGGACCCGAACGAGGGTCGAAACGTATACGTCTATGTCTTATTACTCATTTTGAATAAAAATTTTATATATAAAAATACACATTAATAACTTGTGTTGGCTTATATTGGCATTTTATTATTTCTTTTGGATTTATTCATATGAACCTATTGATTATCTTGTTTTTTCTAATGTTTTTTTTTTTCCAAAAAATCACTCTTAGTAAGATGCGAGTATAATTCCTTTGATTACGAATATTGCAATTACACTGCTATTTTCGTAATATTTTAGCTATAATTTGGAACAATAAAAATTCATTTCGGATAGAGATCTCTACAGTTATTCTTGCCGACTATTAAAAAAATTGTATAAGACGATTAATAGACAAATTTTACCGTGATTCTTACATGTTTACTTTGATACATCAATATATATGTATAAACACATTACATCATGCAAATGTGTGCCAGATTCCTGAAGCCTACCAAAAATTTCATATAGATATACGAAGTCTCTCTTGTCGTGATATACAAATAGAATTCTAAAAAAAAAAAATAAAATTCGTAATTATCAATATATTTTTTGCTTCTTGTTATCCTCCTTCACTTTCACACACACACATGCACACGTACACACGCACGCACGTATATTTTCTCTTTTCTTATTTATCTTCCTTTTCGCTTATCACTTTTAACAGAGTTTATATACATAATATAATTTTCAAAAATCATCAGATTATTCTAACTCGTATCTATATCAAACAGAGATTTAATACTAATTGTAAGTATCAACTAATTGTTTGATTTTTTAAATTAAAATATAATTTATCTGTTCTCTTTATACATATCTTACGTCAATATCTACATTCTTTATAAAGTTCTCTTTTGTCTGTATATAAGAAAACTTCTGGCATTAAAAAAAAAAGGTTTACATGGTTTTTCTCATTTAGGTATAAATCGTTATCTATTAGTCTTGAAATTTATCAATGCAATATCTGCCGATAAATTTTGCTTCACTTACCTGAATGGATTTCGCGCGGTTTTGGTAAATTAGTAACACATGTGTGAGGGCAGAGGAGCACATTAGCCGGATGGAGAGTACCCTCGAGGAAGCGGCGTTTCGTTTCCGAAAGATGAATACCACCCAATGGCGTTTTGGGTAAATAATTAGGTGGTACCAAAGCAAGACAATATATTCCTACTGCATGAATCGAGTCGACCGCTTGTAATACTCGAGACATCCACTGGAAACTCTATATAAAATGATGAGAAAAATTTTAATGCTCGATTTATTCTATCTTTTTTAAATAAAAATTTTGTCCTCTTTTTATTTAAATAATATTTAATTCTAGAACGTACCTCTTCCTCACTACAATCAGGCCGTTGTTCGGCTACGACACATATCCTTTCGTCTCTAAGGACTCTCACACTGAAAACGGCGATTCTACCGCGATAGATAAATTTCATTGGTTCTACCGCTAATACAGTGGCAATAATGTCATCGGCATTGTGTTTCCTGCCAGTCACCGTCATGAGACCGTCCCGTGATCCACAAACAAATACAAGTCCTCCAGGACCAAGAAAACCCAGCAAACCAGAACGCGTATATTCTACATCACTCAAAGCAGTACCATCGACTTGTAAGGGCAATATCTTGAATGTATTGTTGGTAAGACCTTGCAAGCCCCAATATTGACTACCGGTGGCTGCACTGTGTACGCAAATTTCACCTACTTCGTCCGTCTTACAAATAAGTGGCTGCCCTTCCATTTTAATAACGACTACTATACCTGTAAAAAATATAAATATATGTCATTAAGATGCGTCATAATGTAAAAAAAACAATCAATTTGCAAAGAGACTTACTTCCAGGCATGACTTGTCCACAATCTTGTAATGTTAATGATGTAAGAGAATTCTCCTGATCTACTCTAACAACTCCGTAGCTTAGACCGGACATAGAAAGAACCCCACGACCAGTCGCATTTACTCCTGCGCGTCCTGGCCTTCGTACTGACACTGTGAGGGCCTCGCTTGAAGAAGCGCAAGGACAGACAGCATCCGGTCTAAGTCCTTTTGATTGGAACACTGAGAGAAATTGATCGCAGGATGAAAGAGACCACGGATTTGCGCCATCTGCAACGAGCAGTAACCGCAATGATGCCAGAGAGATGTCCTTGTGATCCTTAGTTGCCAACAGACCCCAGTGAAGATCTCGCGATTTTACGACGGCGACGCTAGCACGATGCTTCGTAATCATCTGCATCCAGCTAGCAGGATTGACCTTCATTAGGGCATAAGGGATAAAAATGACGTGCATGCCGTTTAGTACACTGGTTAAAGTACTGTGCCAGAGGCCGACTTCCCGCTTAAAGTCAAGTACGCAGACAGCATTCTCGCCTTCGGTGTAACCGCAAGCTTGTGTGAGAGCGCGACAGTGGGCCATCATTGCTGCCCTGGTAATGGTCACACCCATCACGGAACCATCTTTATCGGTCGTATATTCAATATACGCGGGCGTGTCATCGGTAAGCCGTGGTGGCGGTAGCCAATCTTTGGGCATTTTACCTAGATGCTCAGTAACAAACCAATGCAGTTTTGGCCAGCCCTTAAAGGCTATTACTTCACCAGCTGCCGTCTTTGGCAAACCTTTTAGACACGCTTCACTAGTCAATGCCACCTGAAAATTAAGATATATACATACGTTGTTAATTCGAGTGAGTTATCATATCAAAATTGAATACAAATTATAAGACTGAACGGCTAATTGAATATGCAAATATAGAAAGAAATGTTGTTTGGTGGATAAGAAGATGGTACTCCGCTTACCTGAATTCCACAGCTTCCTAAGAGAAATCCAATCTGTTGAGAACCTGCATCACGACGAGTCAGAGGTACTTCGATGGGTACTGGCACGATACCGGCTTGAAGACAGCCATAAAACGCGCACATGAAGCTTATTGGATCATTGTTCGGATAAACTAGGGCGATCCTGTCTCCAGGTTTCAGACAGCAATCTCCACTGCGACTTAAAGCCTTATTCAGAAGCGTATAGGCAATCTTGTGAGAACGACTGAATAGTTTACCATATGTAAGTGTTACGCAAAGCTTGCCATTAGGATCCAAGACGGTAGCCACAGGCGCTTTATATGTTGCAGAGCCATACCTGAATGTCAAAAATGTTACTTAAGCCAAAAACATATACTTAAAAAATATATTTAAAAAACGTAAGACAGTAAGACGTAAACAGTAAATAAATTGGTCAATCACAATAGAGAATGTAAGGCAATAATCTTACATCCTCTACTGTGATTAGCTATTTACTACTTATATTTTCTTACGTTTTCATATGTTCTATAAGCTTTATATGTATCTGAAAAGGGACGTTTCACAACTGTTTGGAACCGATTTTTTATTTTCCTTGAAATATGTTAAACACCAAAATCTAAAAGTATTTTAAAGATAAATATTGTTTCTTTTTTTAAAGAGGTGTATAATCCCTTAAATATGAAATTCCATACGTATAAAAAAATATGTGTCTCTTACATTTTTGTGTTTAAGAACATATTTTCAAGACAAATCAAATCGGTTTTGAATAATTGTGAAACATTCATTGTGTGCATACTTTTCGCTCGTAGTTGGCAAAATACGACGCGTTTTAGTTCATTGATACTTTACCTTTGAATAGCAGCTTCGAGAGATCTTGGTAAACCTGATGGCACCGATAGCGTTTCGCCTACCGCCGATGTCATGGAACCACCTTCGGGTTTGGGAGCATTTGGATCTTTAGGATTCGCTGCGATCTCCAGTTCAATATCGTCGTCTTCGTAAAATTCTGGTAGAGGTCGACGTTTCGGTCGTTTCAACGTGTTTAATAGTTGTTGGATCTTTGCAGAGACTTTCCAGCGGCCTGTGGTGCCAGTACTATTTTGATCTTCGACCACGTGCGCATAACGGTTCACCCGGTCGGCACCAGGTCGCCGCGTTGCCGATTGTTGCTGACCGATCGGAGTACTACTCGTCACGTGAGTAACGTCCGGTGGTTGGATATTGCAATAGGCATGCGGCGTGTATTCGACAATGTCAGTGATGTCGGCGCCAGGCGGTCTTCTAGCCGGTGGTCTGGGCGGCGGTGGAGTGTCGCGAGCGGAACCGGTACTACTGGTATCCGAAAGACCGGTACCTATCAAGGTTAATAGTAATGAGTACACACAATTATTGAATTTATTTTATGCGATTACATGTATGCAGGTTTCTTCGTAATGTTTCGTAATAAAATAACGTGGAACTTCTCCAACTCAATACAATGCATTTTCTTATAAATTTTCTTCTTTTAACATATATGCAGAAGAAAAGATGAATAAAATTTGCGACACACTGATTATTTATTTCATTGCATTTATTGATCTTATCCGACAAATATTTATATAAATAATTAATTCTCAATTTATTACCTCATATATTTAATTTAGAATAGAATCGGATATATGGTACACGCAATAAGAACGTTGCTCCTATTTTATTATTTTGTCATTATACATGATTAATAATAATTTTACCGGTTGGGCCACCCGCGCCTGGACTCTCCTCAGTGACGACGCTATCCTCGTCACTACTAGACTCGCCGCTATTACATCTCTCCCGATCGGGGCTTCTGGCCATCACGGAAGTTCTCTTAGATGGCATTGGTAAGGATGGTTTTGGTCGTCCTTGCATCGCCGCTAAGGCCTGCTGCACTGCCTCCTGGCGTACCTCTAAACACGTAAAAATTGATTACTCAAATGGACAACGGGATGGCAAATAATACGTGCAGATACTTAAGGGAAGAGGATTCTAAAGTCGTCTGCATTAGCGACTAAACCATATAATTTTTGTATTTACTTTCTCCTTTTTTACTGATTTGAAAATCCTTTTCCAGAATTAAAGTATACGCATTAATACGTGTCTGTGAGGTGAAGTCTATGCTGAAAATGACAAAAAATTACGAAATTCAGTTCTTGTTTACCATTGCTTAATTCAACATGGCACACCAGAACACATCGTTTCACGTTGTGACAACATTTGCTTCATATAAATGGTGTGCTGTACTTACGAAATAATAATCCACAGACTAATAGTTTGCGTGAAGAAACAGCGTAGAGTTTTTTAAATTGGATCTAACTAACTTAGATCTAACTAAACATAATTATTATACAAAAATTTATTGTGGCATGCATGAGTGAGATATCGATATAGTAATGTGTCAATGATACGTCTGTGTGTAAGTGCTATTTCCGATATGACTAATCGTCTTTAGGTCTCCTTAATAGTTTTACTTCCGCACCGTCATTCGTTCATTATCTTCAAATACTATTTATATGTACGTGTTCATGCGTATTGCGCATCGTTTATTTTCTGATTTGCTGACGATTTAATGTAATACTCTTTTGTGTTTGTGTGTGTGTGTGTGCGCGCGCGCATGCATGAACGCTTGAGTTTATAAAGGAGGTATATAACGCCCATGAAAAATCGTAAATAATTAATATCTTGTAAATCATCGAATTTTTTATATTATTTTGCATTAATGGGAGAGATATATTATACTATTACCCTAAATGAGACTTGTCTCATACTTATGAAAATCCTAAACACGGACTAGAACTAAATTTATCTTGGAATTTTATACGTAAAAGCGTATTTTCCATTCGTTTCAATAGCTGACAAATCATATGTTTCCTGTTCGTACAGAGGCCTACTTTACGTGTTTTTTTAGGACCATTTATTGATTGTCAAGGGAGAAAAGAGCAGTTTTCCATTTTTATAAGTGTTTTAAAGCGATCTCATCGTTTCAATTTATCCAAATTGTGTTCATTTACACACATATATTAACGTGTTATTTCTCGCTTCTGACGTCACGATTTCAAAATAGCGACTACTCAGGGGCCTTAAAGTTATTAAGTAAATACCGTAGTAATGACACTATGACACATGTAATTTTTTCTAACAAACACACGGATACGACGAAATAAATGAATAATTTTTGCATATACTGCTACTTGCAGACTTTATTTATTCCTTCTTAACTATTTCGAGCTCATTTCAATATTATCGATGGAGGCGAAGAATACTACAGTTATCAAAAAGAGGATTAATTTTTTGTTAATAACATTGAATTCATGTACATACGTATAAGTAAAACTAAAACACGAATATTCCAAATAATGTAAACTATTTCGTAAAATGATATTTGATAATAAAATAACCGGATTCTACATGATATCTATCCAAGTTTTGCAATTTATTCTAACTTCTTTTACTGAATCCAAAAGTAAAAACGGACAATTCAAAAGAGAAAAAGCAATTATTATATTAAAAGAAATATATGTATATTTTTAAATATTTACATAGGTATAGTAAAGGTTTTAAGAAGAAACGTCAGTTTAGGTCAGATTAGTTACGTATGTACCTAATATGGCCTAAATATGTTTTCCTCTTTTCTGTACAAATATGTTTAAAAATTAAAGAATATAAAGTGATTCGATGTTATTTTTACAAGATTACAAATTAATTAACATAATGATATGTAATACCTGTTGTACTAGATACTCTATTTTCAATACCTAGGTATAGTACGTACAAGTACTCTAGAAAAAATGTACCGAGGTATAGGTACTTTTATTTTTAGCATAAAATATCAAAATAAATAGCATTTTGACATAAAAATGAACGACTTTAACGTTGTTATTTTGTTGTCAAAATGACAGTTTGCTTGTTAAATATGATCTATATTATCACCATACCTGTTAAAAAAACTCAGGCATCCATGGTAGCCAGAGAGTCGAGGCATTGTAAACGCAATATACATATAATAAAATTATATAAGAAAACATAATTTCCCTTGCGAAAATAAAGCGTAAGATAAAACGAAATGTGAGTCGAATGTAAAGGGAGAATGACAGAAGCGTAATCAAGCATTTAAGAAGCGTAAATTAAAACAATAAAACGTAAACGAAGCGTTAAAACGCTTTGTAAACGTTTTAAGCTTTATTCGTATTCAATTGTTTCAATCTACGCTCTTTAGAACTAAAAAAAGTTTGCTTACGCTTTTGTTATTTTTCCCTCATATTCGACTTCAATTTGTACTTCTGCTGGAGTTTTAAATATCTTAGAGCTAATATCACAAACAATAGAGGATTTAAGGGAAAAGATTTAAGTAGGTACAACAATTAAAGCGACCATGATGTCTGATTATCTACAGGATATAGTATGGAGAAACAAGCGTAGAAACTTAAAAAGCAAGATAATATATAAAACTTGTTTGAGACTAATAGTGACCTATGCCATTAAAATAAGAGCGAAGACTACCAAGCTCCTTAAAAAAATAATAAAAATGAGAAGGATTAGGATGTATCACTGGCAATACTTCCACGTAATAAGATTCATAACAAAAACATCCGTAATATCTACGAAATCCAAGATGTTGTAAGAAGAGCAAGAATCAAGAAATGACCATGTAAACAGGATGAACAACCACTATAACCAGCTAGTGAAAATTACTTTCTAATAGAAAAACGAACATCACCAAGCCCCCAAAACGCCCTCCGAAACGATAGCATGAAAGTTGGACATTAGCATCATAGGAGGAAAAAGCACAATAGATAAAATACAAAACATATGGTTTTACAATAAGAAAAAAAATTTTCGGTATTTTAGAGATATAAACTAGCAATTTTTAACGTATTTTTGTTGGTCAGTATGCTTCGTTAAGCATCCTTTATGCAAGTAACACTTATAAAATATTAATTGGTCATCAATTTCGATGAAAATTTTGTTTTGCGAACTTCTGCGAACATCATGTTATTAGTTGTTTTTTGATGTTTGATTAATTTCAGTTCTTGTTCATGACTATGCCTTTCATAAATAAAAAGTCTTTAACATGTTAATAATGTTAGGAGAGTACCGGCAGAATTACAAAACTGCTGAATGTCTTTATGATAAATGGTACCCTCTACATTATCATCCCTATCGTTATGCTTTCAATCTGACAACAAATTGCATAAACTTTTGTAACTGATTGTTAAGTCAAGAACGAAACATTTTATCATCAAATTCTATCAACAGATGAAAGAACTATTCACACTAATGTCGAAATTAATATCCAAAATATCCATTAATAATCTCAAAAAAATCCCCATATTGGATGCAAGAAGTAGATAATCAGCATTTTTGAAATTTAAATATTTTAGGATTATCGATCATAAAATCATAGGACCTTACTTTTTTTTAAAACTCATTAAATGATACCTTTGTGATCTTAGCATCTGACTTTTAAAAATCTAAGTTTTCAATAAAAAAATGTTAGTATTTTGTTTTGTAGTTGATTGTAGTAATATTGTTTTTGTTTGTAATTTTATATGTTAAAAAATATTAAATTTTGAAAAAATAACTGTTAACTGACTTCAGATAAACAAAAAATACTAATATATATTGGTTCAGAATCGTTTCTAGTTGTTTGTTGATTCTCTTTAATAAATTTAATATTCATATTAATTTAATAAATTCTATAATATATTTACATATATTGCTGATTAAAAATTTCATTTTAAAAAATTTAAGTATTCTTGATAACGCCACTCAAGATCACATCAATGGTGCCATCTTACATTTCCCTTGAAGCCAAACAACTTTTGTCTGAAATATTTTTCGATTTAACGTAGAGTATCTGAAATATTTGAGTGGGATTCTTTAAAATGGGACACACTGGCTACGTTTACACCATAAGCTTAATCCGCGACCTATACAATAGGTGTCTTTGTTTAACCTACAGGATAAACAAGGACATCTATTGTTTAGGCCGCGGCCTAAATGCACGGACTGTAAACGTAGCCACTATATACAGAGTGAGGCATCTAAAACAGGCCACCTAAATAATTAGCTTGTTTTTAAAAATACAAAAAAATGTTTCAGATGAAAATAGAACGGTTTCGAGGGATACGTTTTTTTTATCGCGTTTTTTGTCTAAGTGAAGGCACCAAAAAAATATTAAGATTACCTCCACTTTTTTAAATGGAATTACATGACTTTTGTCTTTACATAATATGATTTTTTATTTTATATATAATGTGGAGGTGACCTTCATATCTTTTTAGGGCCTTCACCTAGACAAAAAACATGATCAAAACATGTCCCTCCCCAAAACCACTTTCATCTGAAACATTTTTTCGTATTATTCAGATGGCCTGTTTTAGATGCCTCACCCTCTATATGTATAGCAGACATACGCCAACATGCATGGCAAGCGTGGGTTTTAAATGTCAACTTCTTCCTTTCAAAACCATGACCATATGGAAAAAGTTGGAAGAGTTATTTGTAAACAATTACAAACGAATTCTGAAAAAGATGTAGCAAGCGGATTTGAGATATACACGTGAAATGGGCAAAGTTACAATTTTAGTTTATTGTTAATTTGTTGTAACCTTTAAACTGCAAACAATCAGAAAATCACTAAAATCAATTCTGAATCATTATATGTTATGTACATTGGCATTTTTGTTTATCTGAAAGTTGGACGGCTTAATTTTTCAGAATTTAATATTTTTAATATATGAAACTACAAATAAAACAATGTTATTACTATTACTTTATTTATTAAAAACTTAGATTTTTAAAAATTGGATGCCAAGTTCACAAAGGTTCAAATGCAATTTACATTGACTTTTTAAAAAGACAATTAAATGTAATTACCTTAACACGCTAATCTCCAAATCACTTTTTACCGTCCTTGATGTTGATCTGACCTTCAAGGAGGTCGATATTAAGGATAATTCAGAAGTCATTTGCAGGTGCAAGGTAAACACTTACGGAGATGTATTTGTTAAAGTTGCTTGAATAATTTGAATAATTTCGGACAGTATGGTATAAATGGCGTCGATGAATTATCAATACCCATATTTTCTACTTGAATGGTCCTTGTATATCTAGTGCCAGAGATGTACTCACCGGAATGGTAACGGCTCTCATTGCGTGTTAGTCTGCGATTACCGCGTCTAGCTGCCGCCGCCGCTGCCGCTGCCGCAGTAGTCGAGTTCGAGTTTCCAATGTTCCCTGTGGAGCCGCCAGAACTCGCTGGACTGGCGATTCCCCCAGGCGCTAGTCGACCGCCTGCATGCAACATAACAACAACAACAACGGCACATAGACAAAAAAAGGACACTATGGGCGCTCGACTACAAGGCGTAAAAGTTATCATCGTTGTACTTCGAACAGCGATATCAAACTTCAAAATGCTAGGAAAGTTAATATAATATATTTTTTATCTACTTTGCTATTGTTAATCGCAAATCAATCGTTCCTAAATCCAACAAAAAACTAGTTGGAAGAAACGAATCGAACTGTTAATCTTTACAGGACGATCATTCACTACAATAGCGTTATTCTATTTTTTACGTTGTAAAATCGTAAAGGCCCGTCTACGTAAGTCGCAACACGCAGAACGCAGTTCGCAAGACTAGAAAAACTAACCTAACATATTTTAGTTATAATAGGTTCTAGGACGCAGGACGCAGGAAGTTGAAATTCACCCAACTTCCTGCGTCCTGCGTTCTGCGTCCTACAGCCTATTATAACTAAAATATGTTAGGTTAGTTTCTAGTCTTGCGAACTGCGTTCTGCGTGTTGCGACTTATGTAGACGGGCCTTAATTTCTATGTCTGTTCTAAGCACTTAGTTAAAATCCCAATATTAAAAAATTGAAAAAGTAAAATGTGAATCAACATATAGAATCTCTTTATAAAACTGTTCATGCTGTGTAAAAAACTGAGAGATCCATTTATGTAATCGAATCAAACATTTTTTTTATCAAATAATTTTATTAATTAAATTTATAGTACATATATCTATAAATAAATATTTTGTTAAATGAATTTGTTAATCGAATTTATACAGATTTAAAAAGAAGATATGGTTATACCATCTCTTTTTTTTTTCTCGAAAATAAATAGTAGTCAAAAATTAGGAAATATAATTTTTATTACCAAAACCTATATGAAATATCTAATTATGGCATTTTGATTTTTCGGAACTACGAAAAGTAAAGTAAATCTAGATCAAGTCTCAAATTTTACATGGGAACTTAAGTCAAATTGAATATTGTTGGAAATCTTTTTCCTACACTCTTTCTTGGTATCACATACATCGCTTTCAAGAAAAATAAGAAAATTTCAGATTATGAGTTTATGATTTAAAAAAGTAAAGCCCTATAATCTTATAAATAATAATTTCACACTAAAGCAGAAGTGTACAAATATTTGTAAATTTTCATTAATAAGGAAACAAGGAAATAAAAATGGTCAGCTATATGAATGATGCGGTAAGAATATCCAAAAATAAGGACCATCTCCAGCGACTTCTAGATTTGAATTGACAGCGAAAAAATAAATATGACCATCTCTGTTAAAAAAAGGGCATTCATGACAGCCAGAGAGCTGAGACGTTGCAAACTAGTGGTATGTAACAAAAATATAAAACAGAATATGAGTTTCAAATATCTTGGAACTAATGTTACTAGCAATAGAAACTTGAAAGAAGAGGTTCAAGTACAAACAATTAAAGAAGCCATAATATTTGAGGTCTGTGAAGCTGGCGAACACAAATGCGAATTTTGATAAAATTAACATCGCATTCGATTGTCCAGCATTTGTCCACATTTGTCCACCAAAAAAAAAGTTTGTCCACCCTTGAAAAAAAATAAATAAAGAATTGAGCACTCCCATGTGAATATTCTTTCAAATTACATGTAGAATTTGATTATATTCACCCATATTTTTCTCACAATTTAAATTCCGGAATCTCAAGACAAACGAAGTATAAGCTGTAAAAAACGCCCGATACTGACATATGGTGCAGAGATATAGACACAAAAAATAATGAAGAACTATTGGGATGTACGAAGGCACGTCAATAAGTTCTTAGAAAATCTGTCCGGGGGCACTCGCAGTATCATGTCACATTACTTTTCGACAAGTAGCACCTTTCAGTTGATTACTGTCAAATTTTGAGCGGCATTTATCGAGAGGTTTCATTTCTGTAGACGATTAAAGCGAACAACATTTGTATTTTTCGCAAAAAACGAGTTTCGTGCAGTGATCGAACATCTACATATGAAAGGTTTAACGCTGAAAGAAATCAAAGCCGAGTTGGATAATGTTCATAGCACATCTGCACCAGCGACTGGTATACAATTGGATGAATGAATTTAAATGTGGTCGTACATTCACATGTGATGCACCTCGTTCGGGACGTCCAATTGAGGCGCTGCTACGCCAGAAATCATCGATAAAATCCACGATATTGTTTTGACTAATCGACGAGTGAAAGTGCGCGATCTTGTTGAGGCATATCATATGGCACAGTGATTTCAATTTTGCACGAACAATTGGGTATGAAGAAGCTATCGGCAAGATGGGTGCCGCGTTTGTTCACTGTGGACCATAAGCGCGACCGTGTGATGATTTCAAAACAATGTTTGGAAATGTTTCAACGTAATTCAGATGAATTTCTGTGTCGATTCATTACTGTGGGCGAAACATGGATCCTTCACACCCGAGACGAAAGAACAGTCAAAACAATGGACTTCACCGGGTGAACCAGCTCCGAAGAAGACGAAGACCGTGAAAAGTCGGCCGGAAAGGTGATGGTCAGTTTTTTGGGATGCGGTATAATTTATATCGGTTATAATGGTTATAATTGTTCAGAGGAAAGAGATTCACCACCAGAGAACAGCTCAATGCCGAAACAGAGAAGCTTATTTTGAAGGGTTAGACAAATCATATTATTCGGACGGTTTGAAAAAGTTGGAGAATCGTTGGATCACAAGACTATGTTGAGAAATAAAAATGAATCAATAAAAAAAAATGTGTTTTACTGTGTTTTTCTAAAAACTTATTGACTTGCCCTCGTATCGAACGAAAAGTACTACGTAGATTACGTAGATGTAGAACATATAGCACGGTTATAGATCGTGAAATCTGAAGGATAACCATGAATAATATCAATTATGTAATGACTGTGATATTGTGAGGATAAAAATCGGCCGCTTGAGATGGATGGGATATGTGATTAGGATGGACTCAAAGAACCTCACGCAGATTTATGCCGATGCTAGAACAACCAATGAGACAACGCAGAGAAAGATCAAGACTTCCATGGACAACGTGGAGGAAGATTTGAGGAGGCTAGGAGAGTGAGAGAACGAAGAAGAATAGGGATACATGAAAAATATCTACTTTTTACTACAGTTCTAAAGCAGGCCAGGAAGGTCAATCACTGTCAAATAAAATTCTCATGAAAATTGGTTATTATTATAATGTACGTGCGAATTCGGAATTAGGTAAGACTAATTAGAAATTCCACACGTCAACACAAATCAAATTCATATAATCACTCGTATTTCTGGAAGGCACTAGTTCAAAGCTCAAAATTCAAAATTCGATTGCTAAAACAAAAAAGGTATATCGCCCTCTTTAAGTATAAGTATTCCGATTAAAATTTTTTCCTAAATCATAATGAATAATGAAATATTACTGAAATTTCAATAAAAAATAATAAAATATTACTGAAACTTACTAAATTTTATATTGAAATCACTATCAATTGACTCACTTTCAGTATTATTTTAATAAGATTTTATTACAATTCATTAAAACTTCATTGAGATTTCATTACAATTTGTAAAAATTTCAATAAGGTTTATTAAAATTTTATTGCAATTTATTAAGATCTTATTAATAACTCAATATAAAATAGTGTTATATTTTCCTTAAAAGGTAAATTTATTATAGTAAAAAATAATTTTTACCGAAACTAATTTAAATTTTTAGACGTTTTCGTTTTTTTTTCGCAAAATCGTCTACAAACGTAATTAATTTCTAAAATTGGCTATATTATTTCTCAAAATACTCTCCGTTACATAATAATAAATACACTTTTCCATTCGATAAAACCAATTATCGAAGCATTTTAACCATCTTTCTAGAGACACTTCATACATCAGATTTTCAAACGCCTCCACCGCATCTAGCATATGCTCCTGATTTATTTCATTGACTTTATTTAAGTATTACAATATTCATTACAGTGTCGACATTTACTTTATTTTTATTATATTTCAAATTTGTAATTAAAAGTATTAAAAAATGTATGTCCGCCATATATCCGATTTTTTGTTTTGCAATTTCAGATTCATAATTTATAATATTTTCTCCATTATGCGTAGGGCTTAGGTATGTATATTATGGACATAACTTAACCTATTCATATATCAAATCCGCTAAAATTTACGCGCCTATTCTGTTACATTGCTGTATTCACTGCTTTACCGTCGCGCATGCGCTAAAAACCTATAGGATCACACAAATGATCACAGTTTTTGAAATATGAATTAGAATCGGTTTTTACGACCGAATGATGTGTAAAATTCGATCGCGCAACTCGCTGTGGTGTATATCGAGTAACGTTGATACTGATGATGTGATTGGAATTGGTATTATAGGTCAATTATAATCGCATTAAATCGACAATTAAATTATTATTAATGGTTTGGGATTTATACAGTTTGAACGTATGAAATTGAAGTATTTGGGTTTTTAATCTAAAATTTATGAGTGTAAAATTTAGAAGTACACGAATAAGCTTTAAGAGAGAAAATAGAATTTAAAAAGGAGGAAATAACGTACAAAATGCGTGTATTTCATTCTCGTTTTACATCTTTCCAGCTTTCGTCAGTTCGTTTCCTTCTCTATTTTAACTCTAACGCATCAACTCTATCATATCAACAAAATATCATACATTTAATAATTTTTGAGAATTAAAACATTAAGAACAATCATTATGTATCTCATTTTTATGGCAAAAATTTTATGCTTATTATTCACTTTATTTATAATACATTTTTAATATGTTTTGTTTATACAATTTATGGAAAACTGATTGTTCCGTGATTCTGCAGTTTAAAAATTATAAAAAAAACACAGTTCACTTCCCGTTTTGGTGATAAGAATAGACTTTTACCCGTCCTCATTTAGTTGTAAAAATAATTGTGTAGATAAAATGTAATAAGACTGATGTGAGGAATATTTTACCATTTAAGGGATGCCTTTCAACAAACGACACAGATGATACAGTGTATCAGTATGTCCTTATTGTTCGCCAAAGTTAAACAAGGATGAGATGATCACTGTGTTGCACTATGTCGCTTGTTGAAAGGCACACCAAGGTAACTTAAACGAAAAAAATGTTGTGCGAAAGAATTGGGAGAAAGAGGGGAAAGGGGAGAGGAAGAGAGAAAAATAGAGGTTTACCTCATTCTTGTAGCTTATTAGTGTAAATGTAGTATTCATGTCATGTGTTCGTACATGTATAAATGTATGCAGAAACAGTGTAAAAAGTAAAATTATTAAAGAATTATTAGTAAACTATCGAATTTTACTTGTTCTAATGTAATTGGAAAAACCAATGAAAATCAATGAGAACATGCCGTATTTTTAATTGCGCGTCGAATTTTTTTCAGACTTGAAATACAAACTTTGCAATAATATCACCTACCAATAATATCTGCAATAATATTTCTATCACAATAATATCACCAGTTAAATTGACTAACAATGTAACAATTTTTGATGCCGTTTGCGCACTGTAGATCGATCTTAATAATGTTGAATGACATATTAAAATTTGTAAACAATTAATTTTCATTGCGAAAAATATTATCTCGGCCGGGAGTCGAACCCGGATCTCTTGCATTCGGTGCGAGCGTCCTAAGCCTTTAGACTATGGAGGTTCGTGATATTACTGCGGTAGTTTAGAGCTTGCGTTTCAAGTCTGAAAAAAATTCAGCGCGCAATTAAAAATATACATACGTAGTATATAAATTCACACGCAATTATATAAAAGCATCCAAGATCCAGCTTAACCGTTAACAGCACGTTTTCATTGGTTTTCATTGATTTAAATTCTCACAGTCCTATAAGATTTAATATTGTAATTGGAAAAAATATTCAATGAAATAATATTTTACAGTTCGTTAGAAGAGCAAACTAAAAATTGAAGTAAAAACAAAATTGCAACACACAATTAATAACATGTTAACGTTTTACTCGCCAAAACTCAGAAGATTTCTTTATGTCGAATGTTTCAACATGTTCTAATATGCTTCTACCATAGTTCTTACTCATTCCAACAAGAGGGCTATAATAGAAGCAGTGGTCAAGATTGCCATCGTCTTTTTTAGCAAGTCTGAAGACATCCTGGAAAGTTTTTCAAAAGTATCCAGGGTAATTATGAGCGTTCGGGATTTTAAAGAATCTTATAAATTATTTACTTTGACTCCTCTTGCGCGTTATTCTATACTAATCTTGATTTACGATTAAATATAGTAATTCTTAAGCTGTAAAAAATTAACCAATCACAGCTAAATGAGGAAAATAATCGACTATATATATATATATATATGATTGGTCAATTCCTTATATCAATACCACTAACGAACAATTAAATATGAAATAATTATTTATTTACTATTTTGATCAATTTTATTAATCTATATATCTTTTTTATATGCGTCTGAGATGTCAAGTAATTTTTGTTAGTTCTAATAAGTTTTAGTTTGAAAAGAAAGTTTTAATATGGCAATCCTAGCTGTGGTAAGAATATGTTGGATTAGAACATGTTGGAGCTAGAGTCCTAGATATAATAAGAAAAGTACGACCGACTTGTGACAGTATAGTAAAAGTACTAGGAAAATTGTTTGTAAATGAACCACGAAATCCGTGAATCATTCATTAAGCAGCAATTTGTAATATTAAGAAATCAGTCTCATGATTAGTTGCTAAGTTAGGCTGCTTTCACGTCTCTGGGAAGTTAGCACCTCAACTTTAAAAATCGAAAATTTTAATAACAGTACTGCTTGCACCCGCAATAGTTCTAGAGTTCCTGATAGGTTTCATCAATAGTACTATTGCAGTACTGTCGGAAAAAGTCGAAAAGTCGGCCAGTACTGGCCGTTTAGGGGTACTTTACTCTTGACGTGCGGTGCCAGCGCGCGGATCGAAAAATTGTTTAAACATATTAAAAGGGTGGGTAGTGTCACTAAAACCGATCAGGAACTGTAGTACTCTTCGAGTACTACAAAATGGCGTAAAAAAAAAATAATTTTTTGGAAAGTTGAGGTGCGAGCTCTTTTCTTAAAAATTTATTTAAAAATATTTAATGGCCGGTACTATTGTTATAATCGATCAGGAACTGTAGTACTCTTCGAGTACTGTGAGATTCCGTCATAAAAATCGGCTTTTTCAAATCTTGCGGTGCCACGCGAAGTTAGCACCGCATATTTTTATTTTTTTAAATTTTTGGCCTAAATCAACAGTACTATTGATGAAACCTATCAGGAACTCTAGAACTATTGCGGGTGCAAGCAGTACTGTTATTAAAATTTCCGATTTTTAAAGTTGAGGTGCTAACTTCACAGAGACTGCTTTCACAGTGTCAACTAATCAAATCGTCTCAACTAGAATACCTGATGCACAATTTGACACAATTTGATTGGTTGACGCAAGTTACACTTACGCAAATTACGCCGCATGTGAAAGCAGCCTTATGTGACTGCAATGACCAATCAGAACACTTAACATTAGTCGCGTTTCTTTTATATATATATATATATATATCTAGAACCATAGATATATAGATGACTAGATACAGTTCTTCCCTCTTGTGATAAGGTATTATCGTATGAACTACGCCATATTGAAAATCAGTCACTATAGCATTTCTGTACTTAAGGGGCTTACTACATTCTCGTTTACTCTATTGTCGTCTGTAATTATGGCTGTGTTCCAAAAAATGTACTGTCAGTATACTGAAAATCTACAGGTTACGTTATGTGCACTATAGATTTCTGGTATCGGCAGTAAATTTTGGAATAGAGCCTTTGTAATATTCAGTTAATAAATATTTATTATAAAAATGGTAAAATCACGTTGTATTATATTTATTAGTTTTTTAATATATATTTTAAGTGAAATAAAAATACCTATATAATACAAAAAATTGTTAAAATTGATTTATATTATAATATGTGCATGTGCGCTATATGTATTTGTTATGCATTTAGCTTTATTGATATTTTAAACTATAGAAATTATTAAAAATTAATTTTAGCTATCTCTTATGATACAAACAGATGATAACTTATCAGTGATTCACATATATGTAAACAGTGTCTAATTCTCAATATAGCGACGCCCTTATAATGGTCTTACTTTTTGAGAGAATACTGTTCTCTCAGTCATATATATCTATGTCTAGAACTCTAGTTGGAGCATGCAACGCAAACAGCCTAGAAATACACTCATTCGTAATGCGTGGCGCTACCTGAGTGATAGCGCTTTTCGTTGTGCGTGACGCGCCGTTGCGTGCATCGTGCACGTGGTTGTGGTCGGTTGCCGCCACCACTGCAGCTCTTTCTCCCTCCTCCTTCATCGCCACCGCTACCTTCTCCACTTCCGTAACTCGTTCTCTGTAGTCCTCTACCAACGCCTTCATCTCCGTCACCGTCGTCACCGCCATTTCCATCACCATCACCACCTCCACCACCGATATCATCATTTCCAGCCCCTATGATTCACATAAGTACTGCGTTTTTTCAATTTTTAACGCGTGCCGCTTATTCCACTGGTAGTATGCGTTAAATTTTTTATTTAAGTGTTTGATACTTTGAGTAAGAAAAAAGCAGATACTATATCATTATATTTGTCATAATATTTTATAAGATCAACATAATTAACTTACATAAAATAGTTATCATATCGTGTACTACGCAGCGCAATGATCAGTTTTAAATGATAAGTTTTAAGATGTTATAATTTTTGATAATTTTACAGGTATGCAGTATTATATACAGGTGGCACTAACTAAATGTAGGTAGTCAAATCTATAAATACACGGAGTTACGGAAATGCTTAGTTTTTGAAAAATTAAAATTTTTTTAATAGACTTAATTAACGTTTTAAATGTACTCATTGGATGTGTATTCATTCAAAACAAAAGAATCTGACAGACAAAACCGCGTGGCGGTCTGCATCGCGAAACAAGTTATTAAGTGTTAAAGTTCGAGATTTTAGAGGTTATAACATCTATTATATTATACTAGCAATGAGTAAATGTACATGAGGAATTTCCACGCGAAGTCCTTTCCATCCCTTCCTCCCTGCGTAGGGATATACGACTTTCCATACGAAGCGAGGTTCATCTAACATTCTCCCTTACCTAGGGGCGTTCGAGTTTCCGCGCAAACCGAGGTCCATTCCATATTCCCCCCTGCCTATGGACCTCAACTTTAAAATTTTAAATATTTCGAAAGCTAATAATTCCCGCAGCATTTATGGATTTTGCTAAATTTAGCTAGGTATTATTATACGGTGATACTATACCACTTGTAAAATTTTATCGAAATCGAGCTTGAGTAGTATATTAAGGTCTAACGCTTTTTCTTATATTACTAATTATTTAAATAAACTTATCGTTTTGTTCTATAGTGCATTTTGTCGCTCATCCTTATTTTAATAATAACATATTTTTCAATCTTAACTCTACTGATCTGTTCGAGTCTATTTGACAGAAAATAATTTATTTTCTTAATAATATTTTATTTAAAAACTTTTCTGGTATTGAATCACTTCGTCTCTTAATGTAATTTTCTTTCGGTAAATTTTTTAGATTGTTATAGCTTTCTAATCATATCAACCCAAATGATATGAATGGTAAATTTTAACAGATTATCAGGATTAAAATTACAAAATACATGTTTCTACTGCATGTAATGAATATGCACTAACGTAAGTTATCGATGATACTAGCTATGATAATGTCTGAATGGAACATATTCGATAATAATTAGTCTATTACTGCTCTATGACTATTTTTGCTTTTACAATGCATCATTTTATCTTAAACTCATTACTTAAAACTAATAACTTTTCATATACTGATAAAGCGTTTGAATAAATAGTAGACTTGACAACGTTATTTCATAAAACTTTTTATTGTTATACCGTTGTTTTTGTCTAAAAAGTAACTCGTTACTATTACTCGTTACCAATTCGAAGAAGTAACCGTTGTAGTTATTAAAAACTAGCAAGTTATTATTTTAGTTATTTTTTTGACACTATTATAAATCCTACTTTTTATATCTTATAAGGTGTCCGGTAAGTTTTGACAAAACGCTCGTGTGTAGATACAGCGGATTAAACTGACAAGAAAACGAACGGAACTGTCCCTCACCGATTTTAATGAGCTTTGAATATGTTGCAAAGCATCAAAAATATTAGATCCATGTTTTGTTATAGCTGCTTATCACCCGTGTGAAGCTGGCCCCCCAATATTAAAAAATCGATTTTTTTCTTCATGCATTCGTTTGCTCATCGTTTGCTCACGAATGCTCAGTTGGAATTTTCGTTTGCTCACCCTTAGTTCAAAAGATTTGTGAGCAAACAATGAGCAAATGGATGCAAAAAAAAAAGATTTTTTAATATTGGGGGGCTAGTGTAAAGTTGGCCCCTCAAAACATAATTTTCGTATATCTTTTGAACTAAGGATGAGCAAACGAAAATTCCAACTGAGCATTCGTGAGCAAACGATGAGCAAACGAATGCATGAAGAAAAAAATCAATTTTGCAATTTTTGCAATTTTTTTTTTTAGTTACTCAATGAGCAGAATGTCTAAAATTGACGCATAAAATAATTTTAAGATATCTTCAACAGTTCGCTAAGAAATGTCTAAGATATTTCTCTTTTCTAAAAAATTAATTATAGGTACTGTATCTCGCCTAAATCGCACGAACGTATAAAACGATTTGTATAAAAAAATTTCTTGTCTGATTTAGCAATACCAACTAGAAAACTGTCGCTTATAATTCGATTCGCGTTCACGACAATAGCAGATGCACGTATATAACGAATGAATAACGCGGAAGCACTTCTTCCGTATGTAGATACAGTTAAACTGCAAGCCGATAGAGCGGTTCTACTGATCGCAGTTGTGGACGCAAAGATGCGATCGTATAGGTATACAGAATGATTTCATGAAGCTATACGAGATTCTCAAATATTACATATTGTCTATCAAATATCAACTAAATTTTATATTAATATAAAGATATTCCGAAATCATAAAAAATATAAAATAATGAAATTTATATTTAAATTAATGGAAAAATAAAAAAATTTTTCAGAATTGCACTAATTGCGGTAGTAACGATTGGCGACTCGGATATGTTACCCAATCTATATATATAAAATGTAGATTGCAGATCGCAAGTAGTAAACCGTAATTCAGATTATAATAGGTTGCAGAACACAGAAGTTGAAGTTCACTCAACTTCCTGCGTCCTTTTGTGTTCTGCAATCAATTATAATTAAAATACTTTAGATTAGCTTCTAGTCTTGCAACCTGCGATTTATGTATGTCTTATGTAGAATCGGGCTTTACACTTGGCACTTGCGATAAGCGATGCAGAAATACTGATCACCCTTGAAATTTATTCCCATACGATTTTAATAAAACCTAAAACAAGCTCATTTGAAGCGGCGAACGTCCTATAAAATAAATAGAGATAATATCGAGTGAAGCCGCGCATTGTTCTTGTTAAACACAATTTTCTCTTGGTTTCTCTCTATCTGCGTTCCGTGTCTCGCATGACGCAACTAAGAGCAATTGTACATTGCAGTTATAAGATGTAGAATGTTAAAGTGACGCGTGCCGCGAAGATTGCGTTTTGACCCTTCCTTTTATACACACTGCATTTTATACAGACTATTGTGTATATAATGAGGCGCGTGTTTCTTGAGAATCAGAACGTGATTAATATTGCGAGCTCATTATGTCCCGATGATGCAACATTGCGCATACTAAGATACGCCGAGAAAGATAAGTATCACCTAATTGTGTAAAATAAAAAGATTTATATTTTTCCTCGTAAACCAAATGTTACGAGATATAATTAACAGAATTTCATGAAGAAAATTTAAAAGAAGCGCTTTTAACAAATATCAAATCTTTATTTAAGTCTTGCTTTGAAAAATATAATATTCTATGCGAATAATATTCTAATTGATTATATGACTGAACATGTATAGAGCGAAAATATATTAGGTCGGTGCAAAAGTTCTTACTGATAAATAAATCTAAATATGTCTTAGTACAACTTTACCGGCAGAAATGTTTATGGTTTTTGTAAGTTGGCATCTCTCTGCATTAACAATTGTGCACGACAAGCCATAGGTATCAAAAAATATAGTCTTACATTTATGGTATATTACGATTAAAAATGGAATTAGAAGAGTGTATTCGTCACAGCCTTTTTTTGTTTTTATCAAAAGAAAAGTGTTGCTGATGCACACACAATTATTTGTGACACATATGGTGACAATGTTATAGCTATTAGAACGTGTGTGAATTGGTATAAACGACTTAAAAACGATGATTTCAAATATCAATAATAAAGGACGCTCCGAACATCCTGCAACTGTGAAAGAAACCGAATTGCAAGTATTGAAGATTCACCCCAATCACAACTTGTGAGCTTGCAACAAAACTGAAAGTTGATCAATCAACAATTGTATGCCGTTTAAATGTATTGGGAAAAATCCAGAAGTATGGAAAATGGGTACTGAATGAATTATCCGCGAACTGACAATATCAGGCCACACACGCTAAGGAGACAAAGGAAGTATTGTAAAAGTTAGAATGAAATGTTCTCCCGTATCTAGCTTACTTACCAGACATTATCCCTTCTAATTATTATCTGTTTAGATTGGTGCAACACGGCTTATCTGATGAGCGCTTCTGAAATGCCGAGAATATACGAAAATGGATGAATTAATGGATCGTCTCAAAGAATGATTTTTCGACATGGTATCCGTATGCTGCCGGAAATATGGAAATATGGAAAAAAATGGAAAAGATGGAAAATATTTCGATTAATATATAAAGTACCGATCTTCTTATTTTAATAAAAAAAATTGCAAAAAATTGGTAAGAACTTTTGCACCGACCTAATATAGTCTCACTTCGCTGACTTTCTCTCCGTATCACATATCATGAATAATGCGTGATGATATCTCCCGCTGTTTATTTACAAGAATCTTAATGAATTCTAGAAAATTAAAACACTTACCTATCTGCTTCGAAGCGTATTGCTGAAGTAAACGCGTCCGTTTCTTTTCATAACCCTTCTGCGTAATATCTCCTGCAACAGCAGAAAAAAATTTAATTTATAACCTTATCAAAGAAGTAATTGACAGTCTCGTTTAATATTATATTTCAGATCAAGTCATAATATATCGTGAATAAACGTTAAAACCGTTGTTGCATTTTATAAAGTACGATAAGAATCTTATTGAATTGTTCTCAAGAAAACATATGTTCTATCATTATTTCCGTTATTGCATTTGTTGTTTATTTAAATACGGATAATTAAAAATAATACATAAGCTATTGAAACAAAGATATAAATAAAATTAAAGATTGAATGCAAGTATGAGCAATATACAAGATGCCTCAGAATAACGAGATTATCTCTCGCGAGTGAATTAAACTGGAAATGAAAAACTAACATTTTGCAATTTTCGCAATTTACTGAAATGCACTTTGAAAGCAAAAATCCAACAACCCATTTTTATATGTTTTGTATGTACATAGAAAATATAGACCGACACTTGAAGGTGTCGTGCTAGACTTCAAGATTGTTTTAAGTAATGACTTACGTAAGTAAGTCTTAAGTAATGCTAATGTCAAGATCAAAACCTTTAAAGAAAATTCCTATTAATTTCATTTTTATACTAAAAATTTCACAAAAAATCATGACACGAGCGTCTGTCAATCAGAAACAAGATGACGAGAAAGTTCGGGGTTCTCATAAAGAAGAGGATTCACGTAAAGGATTCCAGAAGAGTCTAAAATCATTTTACTTTAACCTCGACATGATGAACGCTTGAAATTATGAGAGAACCCGTAGGCTAACTATAGGCGTGGCAAGTGCATGAATGTTATCATATTAAATGCCATTTTTAATTTTATAATTCTAAACACAAATACGTGTTCAGCAAGTCAAAAAATAAAATTTAAAAACACAAATTGCTATTAAGGCTCCTGAGTATTCAGCCAAGAACTCCGCGTTGATGATGGCGACACCGAATCAGTCGGCGGCCTGATGAAATCGGTAACCATACACACAAGCATGAATCTATATCCGTGTGCTCGCCTTCGCCGCGCCAAGAGAGAACGAGACAGCGAGAGAAGTCTCGCTCTAGTCGCTTGTTCAAGCGACCGAAAATGCTTTCTCGGCAATCTTGTCCGCTCGGTATGGACCGATCAGTACATTTAAGGGGCGAAAAGAGCAGACTAAATAACATATAAGTTTTAATAAATTATAGTAACAGTATATCCCTCCCATTGCAGAATAATATAAATTTAATTTTAATTTTATTGTGTAGGTATTTAAAGAATTACATTCAAAGAGATGATACAGAGATGAATAAATACACAAATGGTTACGCACCAGCAACTCTGCTGTTTCAACGCCTACCAAAACAATATGAAATGTATGGAACAGTAAACAAGTTGCAATAGAACATTTATACTTATAACGCATAATTAAAATTTACAATTGAATTGATTAATGACGAAGAAAACATTAAAATACACCCAACAGATACTACAAAAAAGATTTTGACAAAATTGGAGAAGGTGCATTATTGCAATAGTTACACGCTCGAGACCAAATGTGACCATACAGACGATATCTTAGCTCCGCCCTAAAGCAGGACCATAAGTAGCCTTCTTAAAAACATATGTAGCACTCACTGAGAGAAATGTTTTGATAACTATTTATTTTATTGAGATGTGACTAACAAAAATTTACTTTAGTAAGAAAGCTTTAGTAAGAAAGCTTTTGACACACAACTTGATGAGATACCATATTTTCTTACCACATCTTTAATCCGGAAGCAATTTCCTCAATTATTTGTTACTTATTATTATACAATTCCTCTCTTGATTCATATTTACACTTAAAAATAATTAAGCAACTAACAATTATGCAAAATAATTAATATATAAGTAGTAGGCTATCCCCAAAGGTTATAATTGAACATTAAAAATACGAACCTGAGTACGTCTAAGTAGACAACTGCGCATTGTTTACTGCGCAAGTAGTTGTCATGGAGATGCGTGAGTTACAAACGTGTGCTTATATAGAGGTCGACTGTGGACTATTAGGAGGTCGCGACTATAAAGAGGTGGACTATAAAGAGGTTCTACTGTATTAATTAAATCAAATTTTTGTAAAAAATAGTTTTCGATATAATTTGAAGACTAGGTTATGAAATTGTACCATATAATAAATTCTTAAATCGTTGTTCAAATAAACAATTATTAATTTTTACAAAGATCTACATTTTTTTAATTCAACAAATAATATCTACAAATAATTTTTAACAAGTTATCTTAAAAAGTTTCAATACAAACATACATTTCTTATACAAATATCAAAATTTAGTAATTATAAAAAAATTATTCAATTACTCACAATATTAAAATGTTATTTTATCTTAAATATAAAAACAATATATAAAGACTAGCGACAAGTATATATTATTTAACTAATCAATTTAAATATGTTATTTTATCTTAAATGTAGGTACAATATAAAGACTTGCAAGAAGTACGATTTATCCAATTCCGTCTATTTTGACAAATTTGTTAACGGAATATTGATTACTTTTGCGTTATCTTGTAATAACAAGTAGGTAGTGATTAAGATTTAAAGAATCTGACATCCTTGGTTATTACTGCCATTTCTCAAACAATATATAGAACTATATTCGGATCTTACTGGAATGTTTCCTCAAAGATGAACACTTGCGCACGAGGAATACCGGCTGAGCGGATGCTTTTCTCAATTGCGATCTCCGACGTAATGGTCTTCTTTTAAGTTCTGATTTTTGCCTTTTTAAATGCTGCTGTCGTTGCAGGAAATTTTTTCTGCGATTATTGAAGCGATCAACATCATCGTCTTCACTGTCGGTTGACGGTGACGAGAGACATTTGTAACTTGTGTTGAAACTTTCATTTTTCGACTTTTCCTTGACAATGTCCTTAGCTAGAAAAGTAAGGAATTGACTGCTGGCAAAATAATTTCCAGAAATGATCGTTCTCGCTGGCGTTGACATTGTCGTCGTCGTCGTTGTTGTTGTTGTTGTTGTTGTCGCCGAAAGCTTCCAAGTGGTCCCATGTACCAGAAGACCGTTGGTCCTTAACTCTTCAGAGAATAGTTTATCCTCGTTAAAGTCGCTGATTTTTTGTACCAGACAAGCCGATGACGAAGACGACGTCGCTGAGAAAGAGCCAAAAGACGATGAAACAATCGAGTTCAAGACATCATCTTCCCGACGCTCATTGAAATCACCTGACAACAGCAACTTTTGATCGTCGAACTGATCGTCTGATACGTTCGACGACCAGTCGTTAATTCTCTTTAGGATTGGACTCTCATTATCAGGAAAATATCTAATTTCTTGCCAGACTCGCCGTTGACGTCTCGAGCGACGTCTTTCGGGTGGGATGAACCATACCGGGCTATTGATGCAAACTGCAGGTTTCTGATTCTTCTTGTTAGCGCGTTGAGAAGTTCTCTTACCACTTCGGCGACGAGAACTAGAACGTCTAGATGCGTTCGTTCGCTTGAAGTAACCCTCCGTGCTCACACTTGGCGATGGCTTTGGTGTTTTCCGGCGAAAAAGACCATGTCGCGTCATCCTAGAGCCAAGCAATGTCAATTGCAATCGAATTAGAATGATCGTTGACCTAATACTTTTTGGTTACCATTACAAGTAATTTTTAAATTATTATAATTTTGTTTTTAGAGAAATATATAATAATATTTATTTGCAGTTAGTCAAAGAAGCGTTTCTGATTTTTACGTATCATTAAGTTATACGTTAAAAATATTTTCAATATTTTTTTCACTTATTTCATCGTTAATCTATCCTAGAATTTTGCACACGTTAAGTTCTCTCGACATTTCAACTTCATTATATAAAGAAATTAGACAATTATACAGTAATTCGAATTACTAAAAAAAAACCATCTTTAGATTACACTCGTATTTTGTCTAATTGTTTAAAACGGGTAAAAAGGCCCCGTTTAGTCCACATGCTATCAGGAGATAGTACTCATGTCAATGTCTAGTAATTTTGCAATATATTACCAATGAAAATATTTTATATTAAATTGGTCGATTAACAATATACGCAAACAGATTCCTCTCATTTAAAATAACGAAAGATCAAAGCTTCTGAAGATCTTTCGAATATCAGTTAATTACTTAAAATAAGACTTATAGACAAAAAAATCAAAGATTTGAATTCTACAAAGATAAATCAATCGAAGAAAGATAATCTATCAATTCTCCATTTTCAATAATCAACTGTTAATAAAGAAACTAATCACCTTGGCCTGAAATCAGCGAATCTGGCGATTCTAAAAGAAAAGCCAAAGGATGACGAAGTTTCCTTGCTAATGGGCTTCTCTGGCGCTGAAACCGTTCTTGCAATAGTTGACTGCGGTTTTTCCTCCTTTAGAGCGCTATCTAGGTAATGATGAATTAAAGAATTCGAGACAGAGGAATATGAAGGAGCCGATAGTGGAGCTGAGACAGGAAACGGAATCGCATCTCTCCATATTCTGCCAAGACTGATGTCAACACTAAGCGATCCTTCTACAGAGGACTCTTGGATCCAAAAAGTATCATGCTCATTGGTCGTCTCATCCCGACCTAGCTCCGTAACAATCCCAAAGGATTTAGATTTAGGTGTTAAAATAGGTGAGGCATCAAGCTCAAGAATTTTCAGATCCTCAATAACCGAATCTGTATCAGTATATTTTGTGGTCTTGGTTGGCCCAGGCTGCTGATGAGATTCGAGATGATCTTCGTGAAGCTTTTCACGGGAAGAAGAACTGACTCCTTGAAGCCACTCATCATAAGTGATAGAATCGCGACTGAGAGAATGCTTTTGATCCTTTTTGAGTTCTCCCTCCTTAATTTGTTGATTAACAATTTTATCATTCGTTGCTTGTTGTGAGGAGGAATTAATAACAGGTTCCAAATTTTTTTGGAAACGATTCCGTCGTTTACCCCGGTCCAGATAACTTTTCCTAATAGAAATTCTTTTGAAGGACTCGCTGCGCTTGAAGGAAGGTTCGTTGCGGTCCTTCTTGCGACTAACGAGCCTTCTCAGGTTTTCAAAGGTGAGGGGCCTCATGAGGCAACGCGATCAATTTTGACTCGCGGAAGTAGAATCACTACAGATTTATACTATTTCTAAACGATGTTTGTGTAGCAAAGATTAATGGATGCATTTGCGAATCAAAAAGATTTATAGATAAGATAAAAAAAAGTATAAATGCAAATATTCTGTATAATCGAAAATCTGCAGAAAAGTTTATAAAGTCAATAAGTCTTAATAATCTTGGATTTACAAAAAAGAATATTTATAAAAACAAAAATTAATTTACGAATTCCTTTCTTCTCTGTTTTTTTGTTCTTAGTTCCTTTACTCTTTGCTTCTCTTTTCTTTTTGCCCTTCTTGCCCTTTTGCTATCCGTATTCTTCTCCTCGTCCTTCCTCCCTCTTTCTCTTTTTCGTTCTTTTTCTTTGTTGTACTAAAGTGCAACGTCGAGGTCTTCCAGTCGTGGATGATCAGCGTTGTTTTCCTTTTTCATCGCCGTGCTGCTGCGCCACCATTGCCGCTCCTCCTCCCTCTTCCTCATTGCCCTCTTCTTTCCTTTTCTTCCATGTTCTGGGTTCAATCAGAATGATCATTCTAAACGAAAAGATTCAGTATGAACTGCACGAGTGCATTGAAGTTAATGCACTCGGTATCGAAAAAGTGATTTCTTAAGCAAGACAAGTTCAACGAACAATATTTGTTGTTATTGTGATTAATGTTGTTGAATACTCTCAAATTGATAACTCCAGATTACCAAGGCAATATTCTATATATATATTTTCCTATATATATACTTTTTATATATTTATCTATATTTGCATTCCCATTGAATGTATTATATTAATTATTTATCAGTAATGCTCAACTTTCTTAGATTACGCTATTATTTCGTCCTTAATCAATTCTAATCTTATCAAATATGATTTTCTTCAAATCTATTTCGATCAATGACTTAACGCAGAAGTATCTGAAACTTCAACAGATACACTTTCTATGTCCTCGGACGATTATAGCATTTATATCACATCCTTTTCCTCTATCGTTCTCCACGCAATCTTTCGATAATTTAAGTGCCATTTTCTGAATAAATTCGTGTTTCATGTAAAGGAATTGTTACTATACTTGATTTTCTTTTCCTTAGTCAAAAAGGAAAAAATATATTATGAAATATATGTTGGAACCAAACTGTCATTCAATAGACGAATTAAATCTACGCACTATGTGCAAAATATACTCTTCTTCATTACTTAAACGGGCAATCCGTTCTTAACACACTAAAGATACACTTAGCACTATCAGATTTTTATAAAATTTTGGTAAATGTTCCCTGAAATGATTGACACCTGATGAAAATAACACTCCGGACACTCACAATTTTTTTTTACGATCGCTTAAAATCACTATCATTACTGCTACGAATATACGCCTTTCTATTTGCTTTCAATTGAAAAACAAAAACTTCACTCACGTTACAAGACACGCGAAATAATTTACTCGCGCGTTGAGTTCACACGATGGCGCGCGTTCTCTTTCTTCGTATATAAAACAAAATTTTCTCTTTAAAGGGTTTCGGACGATCTTACACATGAAATCATGAGCACGTACAGAGTTCGCGTGACGACAGTTCGCGCGTTCGACTTCACGAAGCGGTCGTTTCGTTTTGCCGTCGAAGCGCGTACTCCAAGTCGCGTCGAATTACTGGCATTTTGTGCACTCTCCACGATTCAAGGCAATTCTCTTGCACGCGGGGAGAGTTCGGAGACGGAGACAGAAAGCGATCGAGAGAGAAAACGCTACGGGAAGCCGGCTCGCGCGTGTAAAAGTCGCTAGACGGAAGAGTAGATGAGAGAACGCGTAGAAACGAGCGAACGAAGAAGAGAATGTAAAAGAGAGACAGAAAGACGTGGAAGTGGGATGGCATGCCGTCCGTCCACTCTCGCCTGTCTTCTTCGCACACAGCATCCCACTCTCCATCGTTCCATCTCGCTCGGCACTCTTTACCGAGCTGATGCGACCTCTCACTTGCGTGCTGTTCGAGCAGCACTCGAGATCCCAACTCTCTGTTCCCTGCCTTCTTACAAGAGAGATTCTTTAAGGTGGGATTATACGAAGATCGACCACAATTCCCTCGCGAGATTGTTACAATCCACAACGTTAAAAGCCGCGAGTATATCAATCAGTAATCGTTAAATTATAATTTCCTTCTCTACATTATTCGCGAAATCTTGATTCCACGAATCTTTCCTTGCATCGTGCCTCTTTTTAAAAATCCGGTTCGTGCATTTCGTGTCGACCGTAATCGCCTGATGTATTTCACGGAGTCCAATCACGAAAAAAAAAACCATCTGAAATAGATACGAATTGCTGTTTAATATTACTTCGGTCGAAGAAAAAGCTTTGATTTATAAATCGATTACTATAAGTATCGGCAATATGTAGCTCTTTTTACGAATAAAATTTAAGATACGTTTACATTCAACCGTCTTGTGAAGTTAAATGCTTCGGCTTCACTTGCAATTACAAACGACTGGACGCGTTCGAAATGGCAACATAAACAAAAGAAAATTATGGGTGGATAAACGTGTACATACGCATAGTGTACAATCGAATCCCGTATGTAATTCAGAAAAATATTTACATGGGGGTGCTACAATTTTTTATCTTTCTTTTTTCAAGGGTGGACAAAAATTATTTTTTTATGGACAAATGTGGACAAATGGTGGACAATCGAGAATGCGATGTTAATTTTATTAAAATTCGCATGTGGGGGTATCAGCTTCACATATCTATCGAAATTAATACGTTGTCCCTAATTGGTCTAATAACACGACAATTATGAAATAAAATTTCTATTATTTTACTTGATAAATCGTCCACTCATGTCTGCAACGGAAATTAATGACTTAATGACTTGATATAAAAAAATTTTTTTTTAATATTTTTCTTTTGCATGTATGTTCTAGCCCATATGAAACAGATAAACATTCAGGTAAAAATTCAGATTAGGGGACCAAGCTCCAATGACCTTGACATATGTTGTCAAGGTCATGACCCTGAGTGACCTCCACCAGGTTTTAAGTGGCGATCGCTGTCCGTTAAAAAGTTATGAACAAAAAAAATTTGATTTTGGTGGCGTTCACAAATTCACAATGTGCAGGATCTTAAAAAAAAGTTACATTAGCAACAGCTTCTTTATGTCCACAATATATTAATTTCTCGAATTCAAATCAGTGCATAAGGTACACAAAACAAAAATTTTATAATATTGCTTGTTGTTTCCTAGAGTCCTAAGAGCAATTGATTGTATTTATGTCAAAATATAGTCGCCAGGTTTGTATTAAGTTGAAAATAATAAATGATAGATTTATAATAAATTAAATAAAAGTATGTTGAGAAGGGCTACAAGCCAATAAATTTTAATACTTAAAACAAAAGATTTACTTTTCTTAAATTAAGATGAAAATATAAACAATCAGATCTATAATAGTATTTATATATCTTGCTTATATTTATATAATAGGTGGTGGAGAAGAGGCTAAAGTATATCAAAATAGCAAAGAAATATTTTCTATAAATGTACAGTCTACATTTATATAAAATTTGACAGTAATTTAAAATTAATAAAAAGGAACAGAGCTACGAGCCAATAATTCGTTAAAATCTTCAATTTATTCTAATATATTGCGAAGAATATCACGTAATTTTGGCGTTTCGTCCACTACTGGACTCCACTACTGGACTCATCAGTAAGGTATTGTAGTGGAACTGGGACGAAACGCCAAAATTACGTGATATTCTTTCGCAATATATTAGAATAAATTAATGATTTTAATAAATTTATTGGTTCGTAGCCCTGTTACTCTTTATTAGTTTTAAATTTATTGAGTCTTATTACAAACACATAGTAATTTAAAATTTTTTGACATTGTAACACAGTGGTCTGATTCAACCCATGATGCTACTATTTTCTTTAATGCAGAGCAAATTTATTAATAGCGAAATGGGACATATACTGTTATTTGGTGACAGCGGTTACTGTCTTATGCTTGCTCCAATTTTTTATGACACCATTGTTTGAAACTCAAAATCAAGCTGAACAATTATATAATGAATCTCATACACGAAATCGCATTCAAAGAACATTTGGAATATGAAAAAGATTTGTTGCATTGACATTTGGTTTAAGACTTAAACTTTTAAATGCATAAACTGTAATAGTAGCTACAATAGTAGTATTATATAATATTGCATAAGATATGGTAGAACCTGATCCTCCAATTAATTGCGAAGTTGAAGCTGTAATTGAAGAATTGGAAATACAACAAGTACAATTTCAATAGCAATAATAGTACAAATAAACGACGATCATTAATTGATACATATTTTGCAGGGTAATATATTATTTTTTGTATGCACAATTTGGAAAACTCTTTCCTTCCAACACAATTTTTGTTTACAGTCTAGTCCGTTAAAATGTAAAATTGGGTTAAGATTAACGGTTTAATTAAAAACGGTTTAATCACGAAAGGAATCTAATAATATTTAACATTTAATATTAAATAACATTTATCGTAAATTCCGTTTCTTTTATCTGTTTTTCCAATACTCTCATTTCGTTTTTAATTTTAACAATTTTCAGTTCTGTACTTAACTTTAATTCTACGGTGAATTTATTTTCTATAATGTCCAGTTCTTTCTTTAATATCGCCATTCTTAAACAATTGAAGTTTTTTCATTTCTTGATCTTGTTCTGAATATTTTCATGTAGAATTTGCTGGTGTACTTTTCTCAACTCCTTATCAATATTTCTGACGTTCTTTTTTTCTCGATGCAGAAATACAAGTCTTGTTAGTAATGCTTGCTTTTCTCTTAATTCTTCAATTACTGTTTCAATAATCAGATATTTTAATTTCTTCATGCGCTTTTTTAATTATTTTATTCCATTAAAATAATTAAACATATAAATGTATTAATACATTTACAATACCATCTTGATATGTATATTATTAACATGTACAGTGTCGTTTGTATCCACAGTATGTATCACTGTAACTGCATTTGTTACACTTTCCTGGATAGTTTTTCTATTAAA